ATTATTATTATTATCATCATCACTATTATTAATGTTACTGTTTTTATTGCCGGGGACACCAAGGAAGTCCGGGCACCAGGATAATTGTTATTACTGTTATTATCACCATCATTATTAACTATATTATTATAAGCGCTATTGCCGAGCACTGGATCGGGGCTTTGTCTCCACCAGCCAGGCAACCAACCCTCCTACGAATCATTCGTTTCGGCTGTAAATTGTTATTGACATATGCCAGTGAGTCAAACCCGCTTCTAAGCAACCTTCAGAAGAGAGAGCCTTCAACATCCTTGCTAACAGGCGGTTGCTGTTGGCAGTTGCTATCACTTGAGGTACTTTCGAGTTCCTCCACTTTTCGCACAGGGCGAATTTGAAGAAGGGTTTGACTTTGATTACTATTAATGATATTATTAGTTACGCCTGTTACTGCCTAAATCTTATGAACGTAAACCGCGAAGAACAGATCTGGAATGTGTATCCTGCGCGCATTTATTTCGCGCTTCCAACTCCCCACTTTTTTGCAACTTAATGCGAATAAAAATCTTGTCTTGAAAACTCACACAGCTGATTCCAGTAGCGCCAAATCCTTTGCCATCCGAAACACCCACGAGATGGACATTTTCTTAGCGATAAATTCCCCAGGCTCATTTGATGTACGAATCGAAACTTGATAGGAAGTAACCAGACACTTTGAGAGTACGTTAATATAAACGAGTAACAGTAGAGGTTATGCTGAAATCCCTGTCCTGCTCAGTGACGTACCCAAGCGCTTGTAAAACTCGTACCCATCCTTACTTTTTGGAAAAGCTAGAGGTACCCAACTGAGGTGGAGAAAATGCAATGAGTTAAGAAACGCTAGATTAAACGCAAAGGCAATAAAAGTAGCGGCAGCGGGTTGAACAGTGTAAAAATGCCATAAACTAGGTTTTCATTTTAATCTGTTCTTAAAAATTTAGTTACATGTACATCCTGTACATGAGGGGGCTCCTACCCGCACCTACTGCTCGGTCTGTTTTACGGCCATCAGATGAAACAGATACGAGTCTCTGATTTGTTCACTGGTACATAGATCCAATAATGTCGGTGTCAGCTCCTAACAAATTTAAGTCAGCAATTTACAGGGGATCCAATTGCTGGAAACTTCTTCCTTGCACAAAACGAGGGCTGAACGTGACGTTACCACCTCCTCAGAACTGATATGCCGCAGTGCCTCATCTTCTAACAACGTTTCAAACAGCTGCATACCCTGCTTCATTATACTGCATTGTGTTTTAGCTTTTAAGAATTAGTAAACCATGAACATGACCCGACTCGAGCTTCGTTCTCCATTTCATCCAGAACTGTAGGAAGACAATCCAGTCTGACTTATCCGAGTATTCTCAGTGCACAAAGGTGTTTGTGGAAATTTCGAAATTTGAGCACCGTCCCGTCTCTCCCCGTTAAAACATTTTGAGCCCTTTGACGTTTTTTGCACTGATTTCGCAGAAGTGTCCTTTTAAAATTCCTGCGTATTTTATGATAAATGCATTGAGAACAAATCTGTGCGAGCAAACAAAACAAATCAGAAAAAAGGTCTGACTGCTTTGCTGAGCAGAAGAGAGAACTCGCATAACAATTTCTTCCAATAAATGATTAGAAATGTCCAAAAGGACAAAAAACGGACAAACTCGCAGTCTCGCGATGTCTGAAACAATCATAATATCACGGAAATTTGCAGAGGAATTCAAGCCATAAATATTTTGAACGAAATACTTTCATCCAGAACTACAGCTCGAAAGACATTCGCCAAACTGTGTAAAAACTAGTCGCTATATGACTGTTCTTTTCGCAAAAAATTCAAGCAAAATGTCAAAAATGCGTAACACATTGAACGAAAATTCCGTCCAAAATTGTGATTCTAAAGACAACGGTAAATGTATACTTCGGGATAATTTTTACCCCGAAATTATAATCCACGGACGTTTTTTAGCACTGTCCAGCATTAAGAAAAAAAAAATATTTGCTACAGGAAATTATCGAGGTAACAAAAATACAAATCATTAACCAACGCCTTTCATACGAATGGATTTGCAATCTGTTCGATGCCATCATTTGGCGCAACTACAGTGATTGCTGTTCCCCGAGCCACAATCAGGCCCAGCTGCCTTGTCTCCTGAAACAAAACCTAATCCCGTGAGCATCCAGCGGGATAACTAAAGGCGCATTTTGTACGGCAAGACCTTATTTTAAAAAAAGGCTAATTTTGAGGATTTTCAAAAGACATAGCGAAGGCTAATAAGTGAATGTGGAGATGAAATGAATGTGAGAATCGCCA